CTCGAGGCGGTACCCTTGCCCGTGTCTCGGAAGTGTTCTTGAGAGGATGGGCTGAGCTGGGGAGCCCCGACTTTGAGGTAGAAAAGGACAGCCTGGCTGAGCCCATGAAAGGCCAGACAAGGCCCCTTTCGGAGCAAAGAGCTCTGGCTCTGAGGCAGCCCCTGAGGCACTGAGCCCTCCCAGCCCCTGCTCAGTGCCTGACGTGGAAGTCCCCCCATCTTTCTGTATCCCCATTTGGCGACTGGCTCCATCGTGGCCTGGACACAGTGATCCGTCATCTCAGATGGACAAGACTCTTAATTCCCTCATTTCCACCAGAAGCCGGAGGCTGTGATCCAGCAGGCATGAGCCCCGTTCCCCTGGGTCTACAGGAAATTGGTTGCAGAAATCAAATCAAAGGCACTAAGCTCCGCCGAAGGGAGGGGCTGCCTGGTGTCCCTCTCCTGGTCTCTGATGTGAGACTCCAGCCTCCAGACAGTGCAAGACACGTTTCTGCATTGCCAGCAACGGGCGGTCTCTCTGGTCCTGTCTCCCAGGCAAACGGTGGCTGGTGAGGGACTTGGGGGCTGTCAGGGGCGGCCTCCTGGACAGAGCCCCTGGCTCAGGCCGTGCAGCCTGCAGCCGACCTGTGGGCTGGAGCCTGCCAGAACAGGAAAGGGCGGGGCCGGGAGGGGAGGGGACAGGCCCGCTGTGGTCAGTGACAAACCCTGGTGGCCGTCCAGCCAGCCCTCTGCCCTCTCCCGAACCCGACGGACGCCACTTCCACTGGGTGCACGCTCGGCTGCGCGACGGGGTAAGTACAGGCCCTGCGCAGGAGGGTCCAAGCCCGTGAGGACCTGGGAGGAGAGGCCAGGACGGACTCCAAGGTTATGGGGCTGAGGGCTTGACGTGCTGTAGGAGCCCCGCACGACCGGAAGAGCCTCTCGGTGTCGGGGCCAGCAGGGGCCTCCGGGTGGCAGAGACGCGTCCCTGAGCTGTGTGGCCTTGAGGCCAACACCCAGGTCAGCTGAGCCAGCGGGGAATCACTGCACCCGCTGTGTGGTGTGACTTGGGAGATTCAGCCCCATGGTGGGTCCCACCCCGCACAGCCGTCCATGTCTGCAGACTCGTCTGGTTGTCACAGTTGGTGGGGGAGGGTTAGCCACCAGCCCTGCCGCTGGGCGTCCTAGGACACACAGGACCGCCCTGCCACCAAGCATGGTCTTGCCCGGCCGTAGAGAAGCCCTGAGATAAGGCAGTGGAGACACATCGCTCACCGGGAGGTGCCCAGCAGCCTGCAGCTTGCACTGTCCTCTGTGCCTGTAGTCTGGGACCTCTAGAAATCAGGACACAATCAGCTCTACCCTGCTTCCCTGAGATAAGGGCCTGGGGCGCCGCTGGGAGGGTCACAGCGGCTGCCTGTGAGCTCGCAGCCCTGGCGGTCTGTTAAACAACAAAGTGCAGAAATCAAGTGAGAGGAATTTTCAGTTTCTCTGGGGGCGAGGCTTTTGGTGAGAAATGCTGCAATAAAAGGGAACCCGCCTCCCTGGTTGGCGTCCGCAGGCCCAGATCGGGAAACCCAGGCATGCCGGTGAGAAGCCGGGAGGTGGTGTCTGGAGTTGATGGGCACGGTGACGGTGTTGATTGGGGTGCTGTTCCGTGGTGTAGACGCATCTCTGAGCTCATCGAGTTGTAGGCGCTGCACTCGTCAGTTTTCTGTAGGGCAGTCACAGCTCCTCCTCGAGGCTTTAGGAGAGATGAAAGGGGAAACTGAGGCTGAGAGGTGGTGGTGGCGGGGGGGCGTGTCTTCAAGATCACCCGGACAAAAGCCCTGGGGTGGGGTGGTGAGCACAGCTCCAGATGCCCAGCCGGACTCTGTCTCCACTGCTTGGTATCCAGCTTGCCATCTAATGTCTCTGAGTTATAGCTAAGAGGAGTCCGTTCGTTCATTCATTCATTCATTCTACAAAGCTGCAGGGAACTGAAGGCAGTGCAGATGAGGGTCCTGTGGGAGACAGGCAGGAGCAAAAGGTGTCTATGGCACACGCGTGCAGCATGGCACACACAACACGGATGGAGCCGTGAGACAGCAGTCTAGGCGCCGATCTGGAAGAGCAAGCGGCGGGGACTGGGTGGGTGGGGGGGTGTCATGATGACGTGACGCGGAAGCAGAGGCCTGAAACCCAGAAGAAGCTGCCTGCGGTGAGCCAGGTCGGGGTGACCTCGCGCCACACGGTGGAGTGTGCACAGGCCCGGGCAGGACAAGCTGCTGCGCTGAGGACCTTGGAGCAGGAGAGTGACCCGGGCCAGGGCGGGGCCAGGCGTGCCCGGCGAGAGCCAGTGGAGCCAGGTCGCACGGGCCTTGTGGGCTAGAGCGCAAGTTACGGTCAGATTTGACCCAAAGCGTCGGGGCAGCGGGGGCCGTGAGGAGGGCGCTGTGACTGTGTTCATGACGGAAGGAGATTCTTTCCTAGGCGTGGGCGGCTCTCGGGGCAAAATGGAGGCTACCGGGTGGCCGTGGTGAAAGGTGGAGGGGCTTTCGCTGGCGGTAAGGACGAGCAAGGTCTGAGATCTGTTCTGGAGCCTTCCTGACGGGCTGGAGCAGGAGGAGGCCACGGTTACTGTGTCTGGGAAACTCTGCCTCGGCGTCCTGGGGGCCCAGAGGAAGCTGGGACGTGGCCGCTCTCCACCTGTGCCCCGAGCTTTCCATCCCTTTTTGGGATGCACAGATGTCCAGGGGACCCACCCCCCACCTGGACACCTCCCATAGCCACATCTTCAGCTGGCCTGGGTGGACGTCATCGCCCGGCGTGGGGAATGCAAGCCGGCAGACTTGGGGGTGAGGAGGCCGGGGGACTCGTGGCAGGACAGACCGGGGCCATACCCCGCCCTCTCCAGTCCCCTCGGCCTGCGATGGCAGGCGAACTTGAGGGATGGCCCGTCTGCCCACTGGGGAAATACGTCGGGGCCTGGGGGAGGGGCAGCCAGCCCCCCTGGGGCCTGGTCTGGGGAGGGGGAGCCTCCTGGGGCCTGGGGCAGACCCACACCCAGCTCGGAGATGGCATTCCCACCCCAGGCCCAGGGTGTGATGGCAAAGCCAGGACTGTGCAGCTCAGGAACCCAAGCAAGCCTCCTGAGACCTCTACTTCTTCTTGGAGGACCCTCTGACCCTTTGTTTCTTCTTCTGCTCAATTAGGATAATGATCCCAACTCCCTGCAGCTGTGACCGAGTATAAGAGTGCCAATCCAGGTGGACATCTTGGGAGTGGCCTGGGGGTACACATAGGAGGTGGGACAAAGAACAAGCTGTTATTCCCCAGAGCCACCAAAGAACTCCGAGGGACAGGGTGTGCACCAGCCAGGGGAGCCAGGCAGCCAGGGGTGCGCACATAGGCCTGGGTCCTCTGCAGACAGACACTGCGCTCCAGGGAGACGGGGTGGGACCACGGAGAAGCAGCCACTAACCACAGCACAAGGCAGACCCCGCATTGCGGATGAAGAAGCTGAGGCCCAGAGGATGAGAGGGCTCAAGTAAGGCGTTTCTTCTAGGGTGACAAGCTCAGCGTGAACCTGCAGGGCTTGAACTGCGGTGTTTCCTTAGTGGCATCTTGATACCGTGGCTGATTCTAGTGCTTGGTGGGGAGCCCAGACTGTTACAAATCGGCCAGTTTAGAGAAGACAGAGATCAAACCGCCCAACCATGTCCTTCACGAATCTCCAGAAGGCGACCGGCTCCCACGGCGGGGACAGAGGAGGAGCCCGAACGGCGCTTCTTCCGTATCTGCAGATTAGACCCGGGGTCACCCAGTCGGGAGGCTGCTCCAAGGGAGGAGCAGGCAGAGGGCTCTGGGAAGGGAATGGGCGACAGTTCGGAGCGTGGGCTTTGGGGTCCGGTGTGGGCCTGTGTCCAGCAGCCTGTGCCCCAGCCTCCCTGAACCTAGGGTCACCCGTCTGTAAGATGGGGCCATAGTAGACCCGACCTCCCTGCAGGGGTGCGCGGCTGGAGGACTTGATGGGTTCACACATGCCCCAGAAGTGCTGTGTGTGTGCGTGTGTGTGTGTGAGGCGTGGACCCCCCGGGACCGCTGAGGAAATGGCGGTCTCAGATGGAGCTTTGGCCTGACGCGGCCACGGCCACGGCCACGGCTCTCACTTCCGCAGAACATGCCGCCACGCACCCATGTGCTGTTACCACCTCCGTCCTGCAGGTGGGGAATGCTGGCTCAGGGGTCCCTGATTCGCCCAGAGTGGCACTTTGCAGCTCCGATGTGAGCGTGTGTGTGTGTAAGGTGTGGGTCCCGGCTTCAGCCCATGAATTTGGAGGACACCATTCAGCCATCCCAGGAGAGGCGGGAGACCAGGATGCTCGCAGGAGAAGGGCGTACTTTCCTTGGGAGGGTCGGCGGTGGCCGGGAGCAGCCCCCCACAGGAGAAGGGGACCCATCGGCGTCCTGGCACCCTGCTTGCCACTGCCTATTTGCTGAAGGAACAGGGCAAAGCCTGCAGGGCTAAGGACACCGGGGGTGGGGGTAGCTGGTGGAGTTCGCAGAAGGTCCAAGAGGCTCTGGCCCCCAGACCAGGACCCTGAAGTGAAGACCAGAGGCCACGTGCAGAGGCGGTTCAGCTCCCTGGTACCCCCGGAGATGCTGACAAGGCAGCACAGGACCCGTCACCAGCATCCCATCGTCCCCAACACGTACCTTCCTGTGGAAGAGCGGGGAGGGTCTCCGCCCCAGGACTTGTCCCCTCCCTCGGGACGGCATCTCCCCAGCCTCTGTCACTCCCCACCGCTCAGGCCTCTGTCCTCGGGCCGCGGCAACCCTCACCCCAGTCTCCCAGAGACGGTCGCTTCTCTTTGAAGCCGAACGGGCCACATCACGTGCTGGGGGTCGGGGGGTGACATCTCTGGAAAGCCAGGCTTGTGGCCTCCCGATCCCCACCTGCCCGCCCGGCCCGGGGAAGCCCGGGGCCCAGCCCCTCTCTGAGAATGTCTTCTCCCCCTCACAGTGCAAGGGAGCGCCATGCGGCTTCTCCTCGTGTTCCTGATGCTCCTCGGCTCTCAGGCGGTCACCGCCCGCCGCCACCAAGCCCGCGAGATGAAGAAGAAAGACAGGGAGCTCCCGGCGGGCGGGGACTTGGCCTTCAACCTCTACCGGGCCCTGGACGCTGCCACCCCGGCCCAGAACCTCTTCTTCTCCCCGCTGAGCGTCTCCATGAGCCTGGCCATGCTCTCCCTGGGGGCTCGGTCCCACACGAAGGCGCAGCTCCTGGCGGGCCTGGGCCATAGCCTCCATGAGGGCACCGAGGAGGAGCTGCACGAAAGCTTCCAGCATCTCCTGTATGCCATCCACTACCCCACAAATGGCTTCCAGCTGAGCCTCGGCAATGTGCTGTTCACCCATCCCGAGGTGCACGTCCAGGACGCCTTCCTGAACGCCATGAAGACCCTGTACCTGGCAGACTCTTTTCCCACCAACTTCGGGGACCCCGCCGGCGCCCAGAAACAGATCAATGATTACGTGGCCAGGCAGACCAAGGGCAAGATTGTGGACCTGATCAAGAACCTTGACGGCACCCAGATCATGGTCATGGTGAATTACATCTTCTTTAAAGGTAAGGCCCTTGGGTTAAGAGCTGGAAACAGACTGGACTCGGTGGCTCAGCCTGTCATCCCAGCAGTCTGAGAGGCCGAGGCAAGTGGATTGCCTGAGCTCACGGGTTCGAGACCAGCCCAGGCAACTTGACGAGACCTTGTCTGTACAATAAACAAAAAAATTAGCCGAGTGTGGTAGCACATGCCTGTGGTTCCAGCTACTTGGAAGGCTGAGGTAGAAGGATCGCCGGAGCCCAGCAGGTTGGTTCTGGAGTGGCCATGAGTATGCCACGGCACTCCAGCCTGGGCGACAGCATGAGGTTCCAACTCAAGAAAAAAAAAGAGCTGGAAAGAAACACAGCACCTCGGTCAGAAGCTCCTCTAGCATCACACTGCAGATCAAATTTTTAAAAAGTAAATAAATGAATAAGAGTTTCCCATGGGAAGCAACTAGAGAAGGAAACGTCATGAAGACTTCCCAAATATCCTGCATTTCCAGGGCGCTTACTCACCTCCCTCCCAAACTTAGACCAAAGCCAACATTGACAGAAGCGTGAAAAACAGAATGACTCGCCCAGACGCCGGGCGGTGTTCTCAGCCAGCCGTGTCCATCCTCTTCCCTGGGAGGCGTGGCCTTGAGTAATGTTGGCCACCCGGGGCTGCTGGAGACACAATGCCTAGCCTCGTTTTGCCAGCATGGCAGGAGAGGCCCCGTGAAAAGTCCAAGTGTGTGCCCCAAGTTGTGAAGGGACTGGCTTCCACGGTCAAGGGTCCCGGCCGTGAGGGTCCCCGGACCCTGAAGCTGCTGGGAAGACAGAGTCTTCCCTCTCCTGGGTGCTTTGCATCCTTGCACAGCCATGTTCCGTGTTCTCTCATGCTTGCCTTTAGCGAAGTGGGAGACGGGCTTCAACCCCCAAAACACCCGAGAGCAGGACTTCCACGTGGCCCCGGGGACGGTGGTGCAGGTGCCCATGATGAACCGGGAGGACCACTACCTGTACTTCGTGGACCGGGACCTCTCCTGCAAGGTGGTGGGGATCCCCTACCACGGCAACGCCACCGCCCTGTTCGTCCTGCCCAGCGAGGGAAAGATGGCGCAGGTGGAGAGCGGACTGAGCGGGGCGACGCTCTGGAGGTGGTTGACGATGCCCCTCACCAGGTACTCCCAGACGGCACCAGGGCCAGTGTGACCCCACGTGCCCCGAACGGTGGCGGGAAGGACTCACCCAGCCACGCCCAGAGGAGCCCCTGGATGTCCCACCCCCGGGGCCTGGCCTGGCCGGAGGGACCAGGGCTGGCAGAGGGGTTCCCTGGAGGGGGGCCATGGCGGGCAGGGCCCTCTGGGGCAGCCCAAGTTCAGGTCCAGAGCAAAGGCAGCCTCCCTCCAGACAGGACGCCGGAGGATCCCTGTGCAGCCCGGGGAACACGGCTTGGTGACCCGGGGCTCCGGAACAGTCTGAGAACGGGCCGTTCCTCTTCCCAGGCAGCTCGACCTCTACCTGCCCAGATTCTCCATCGAGGGGTCTTACCAGCTGGAGAAGGTCCTGCCCAGGCTGGGGATCAGTGAGGTGTTCACATCCCACGCCAACCTGTCGGGGATCAGTGGCTACGCCAACATCCAGGTGTCAGAGGTGGGTCCGGAGCCCTGACTCTGCTGCAGAGGGCGTGGCTCTGCTCGGCTCAGCTCTGCGTTATTCTGGCCAAATCCTCGATTCGATTCCATTCCATTCCATTCGATCCTTGTCTACTCCGCTTTGCTCCCTTCTCTCTGTCTCTCTCCCTCCCCCCCGCCTCCCCCTCTTCCCCTCCCTGTCTCCACCCCCTCAAGAAGCAAAGGTTTCACTTTGCATCTTCTCTGGCATGCCACGGGAAGCCTTGGGCCCAGGAGCCCTGCATGAAGCCTTAGAAACCCGCACTCCAGGGCCAGCCCCTCCGCTCCCTGGCCGTGCTGTCCCCCGCACACTCTTGGCTTGCTCCGAGAGGCCGTGAGAGCTCGCTGACGGACGCGCGTGCGGTCACTTCCCCGCCTGGCGCCTG